TCCAATTGAACTAAACTATTATTATATGATCTAGTTTAAATCCTGCCTACAAGGTTTCAAATCTCTATTTTAATTGATTTATGTTGCATGAATTGATGCTTCATTTCTTTCCTTTATTTCTGAGAAATCATAGTAGGAAAAGGAAACTCATTGCACCCTATCCCAAAAAAGATTTTCAAGTTACAAATGGCCTCGTCACTGGAATAGAAGGTAAAGCAATGACTCTGAGAAAGCTCAAACTATACTCTTTAGAGAGAGGAAGTTAATGCCATTCTCTACCTCCCACCCCCAAAGTGGAAGCCACAGAAAAATGGAACCCTTACCTACAGGCACTGGCCTAAGCCTTTTTTTGTCCTTCACTTTCCCTGCCTTTTAGCTATGTCTCTACTTGGGCTTTGTAGTTTTATATTCCAAGAGCATAGTGGGGGTCAGGCCTGGAACCAAGTCCCTTACTTTCTTGCACAGGAGACATTTCATAATAAAGTGCATTACTTAACAATTCATAAGGAGAATTTAAAATTTATTATTTGGATGATGCCCGGTTAATTACAGACTTTTCCAATGACTCCCTACTAGTAAATTGGTGGGTTATTAGGAGGCATTTTCACTTTTTAAGCCACCAAAAGCCTATTTGTTTTAAGTAAGTGATATACCTTGTTAGAAAGAGACCCAGTTTTTACAATAAGCACAAGTCATTTAGTTCTTTAGGCTATGACACTAAACTGCTTTTTGATCTGAAGGATTATAGCACTCATTACACAATAGACTTGCTCCTGGGTAACATACAGTACATTCAGAGTATGCACCATACATATATGTAAAGAACAAAACTTTATTTTTAAAAAGCACAAAATGCGCCTTTTAGGTGCACTAGATATACAGTAATGATACTTGAGGATCCACACTGTGTCTACTATAGGACTCACAAAGATAGTATCAATAAAACAAAAATAATTATTAGGCCGATTTTTTATCCAAAGTAATCAGGGAATGATGACAATTTAAAATTGAATAATGATTAAATATTTCCAGAAACATTTTATAAATTGATCACCTCATGGCAAGCATTATCTTCAGTTCATTCTTAACAATAATCTCAAAATCAGTACTAGGGTTCATTATTAACATTTGTAAAAGAGTTATTTAGCTATAACACAGATAACCATAAAGGTTCTCTTTAAAAATATCAGCTCAATTAATTTGGGGCCAACATTATATCACTTACTATACACAGGCTTGCTGATAAAGTCGTAAAAACATACCAAAAAAAGCATGGTACAATAACTGCAACGCATTTTCCATTTCACAGATGAGAAAATAGAGAGTTAGGGTAGGGTAAGTGACTTGCCCCGCTATAATAATTGAAATGGTTAAAAATGTAGACATTCATATTCTGAATTAAAAGCTCACTATTACGATATTGATTTCCATTGATAGTTGAAAAAAGTATTAAGCTTATTTAAACCTGGTTTTTTAAATAAAAAAAATTAAACATATACTATTACTGGTGATACGTTTTCTTTTCTTAGTATCTGCAAAAGTTTTCCCCAAAACATGGCCTATTGTATTGGTGCCAATTTCTTTTCTAAGAACCTACATAAGTATTTTAGGTAAATAAATATTAAAACCTGATGCTTTTATATTAAATAAGCTTTAAAACATATGTCATATAACTCTCTCGAATCTACCTCTGTATTGTAATAAAATACAGAATTAATAAGAAAACCTCAGGAAGATTACAAATAACCTGCAATTTAACATTTTTAAAAATCTAGAATGATATGAAACTAGCTGAAATATGATATACTGGATCTATCTATGCTTATAACATGGCTATTTACAGATCTCATTTTATTTTTGTGGAGTCAAATTATATCAGTTTTGAAGGAACTTTGTAAACATTTTAAATCGCTGCTCTTTTTGTTGCTTTTTGGCCTTATGAGGGAGAAAAAGGAGAAAAGAAATAGCTCAAGAGGTCAACTACCTTAATGTGGAGATCTGCTAGGAAAAAGAATAAGAAAAGCAAGTTAGAAATTCGGTTTAACAATTTTTAAGGTGGAGGTCATATATTTTCACTTATAGACTAGCAACTTAAGTTTTCTTGATAATTGATTCCAAAAAATCCTATTTGACTAATATTTATTTAGTGAAGTTCTATAAGATCAAAAACTTGTTCCAGTACATTTGCCATATCTCATGATATATTATATTTCCAAATTCAAATGACAGTGAATTCAACAGAACACCCAAATTAGAATGACTAACATTTTCTGTCCTATCCATTGGGCATGTGTAGACCTTATAAAAGAAGCAAAAGTATGGGCCAGGATATATAAAACATTTTCAAAGTGTTATTTTAATATTTTTCCCACTTTATGAAAGTCTCCTGTTATTAACAATCATTTCGCAATTTGAAAACTAAATGAAATGTATCATTAATACTTCCACATGTTTTCACAGCAGAGCCTTTTACACCACTGTCACATGCATAATTATCTTGATAATTAAAATTAGCAGTGAACATCCTTATTGTCAGAGATTTACAGAAGGGAGATAAGTGTTTATAGTTATAATACCTACTAATTTAAATCAATTAGCCATGAGCAGTAATGCATTTCTAATGCATATTCCTAACATCACACTTTTTCTCCTGTATAAATTTTAATACATCGAGATAATATAATTTTAATGTCACAGGGACTTTGAAATTACATTGTGATCTTTTAAAAAATTATCATTTATTACTTTTAAATGTATTTCTGAAATATACAAAGAAATGAACATTAAGAAAACTAGTCTCTTCAAAGAAAATAGTGTATTTAATTATTTAAAATACCAATCACAGTTTTAATTAAAAAGAAATTATATTCTTTTAAATGTAAAAGAATGAAAAAAAGTGTCCAAAAAAATTAACCTGGAATTCTGTAAACCTTTATACTTCACTGATGCCATGATTTTATAGTAGTTATTGTAAAAACTAGAAACAAACTTAAATAAAAAATTAAATCACAAGGTTTTTTCCTTCCAGTGAGTTGCAAAAGACTGAGTAGTCACTAGCTGATTTTAAGATCTTTAAATTTAAAATAATCATCAGCAAGTGAATATCAAATATCATCTAATTTAAATAAAGGAGAAAAATTATGTGAAGTATAAAGTATGACAAAAATGGATGGTTTATAAAGAAACTTCAATTTGGGCTAATAAAACATTAGTTTAAGTTTTTTGTATATTAAATAATACTACAGAATGTATTAATTTTAGAGTGAATCTATTGAAAATAGACAACACGAAAATTGTTTTAAAATCTGAACAGGATCTTTTTAAATACCACTCCAAATGCTAACTGGTAGCATCTATGCCTGTTTTCTATAAAACTTTAATAGGAGTGGAAGGTATTTCCTTAAGGGAGAAGCCACAGTGAGTATCTACGTCAGTCTCCATCCTAGAAGGGTTTTCTAAATCATTTAGCACCACCAGGTTGGTTCTGCTTTCAGTCAGCGATTGATCACTTAGCTATAGACAGGAAAAGTACCACAGAACACCTCAGATCTGTCGAAAATCTGACCAGGTCCTCAATAACCCCAATTACAATTTGTCTCATGAATGGTAAAAGCACTTGACCTTAAAATAATGTACTTTAAAATCGAGTTTCTCCAGCAATAGGTATCACACAACTCTGTTCACCACCTTGCCTGGTTTTGTTCCAGATGATAATTCACATAAAATAATTTTACAGTTTATCCACAAGCTTGAAAGGAAAACTTCAACTCCTTCATGACAGACTACTATTTTTTCACTCCATTCTCTTGAAATAATTGACACTATTTCCCCAACTATTATCCTCAGACTCCAGTGAATTAGATTTTCACGGCAAAACAAAACAAAGCAAAATAATAATATAATGGTAATATTATACAATAACTATCATCATCTTGCAAACTTTGGCACATCAACACATTATAGCAAAATGCAGTTAAAATAAACCAACTCACCTAAGCACTGGGAGTTAGAAAGAAGGATTTAGAAATGCAGCCTTCTGATTCACCAGCAGAGGTAAAGGCCCCTTCTTTACCTAACTGACCTTATATAAAATCAGCAGATAGGTTACTCCCAGTTTCTGCCTCCTTACCTTAGGCTCCGCCCCAAATACCAAGGCATAAAGTACCACGGCTACTCACCACCTTGCACCCCCTACAGAGGGACCAGAGTTCTGTTAAGCACCCTGCCTCTGCCTATCTCAGGCTACAAGGAGCCTGTGGGCACGAGTGGGAACCCTCAAAACCCCAACGCACCCTGTCCAAACACGGGGTGTGTGGGGAGGGCGCACTCTCCATCCCCAACGACCCTGGGGACTCCAGCGCACACCCCCAGACCCTCACAAGGTTCAGAGCCACCAGAGTGCCTAGGCACCGGGACTGGGTGACCCCAAGGGCGACCCTCGCTTAGCTGTCACTATGACCACATAGCGATCGCTGCCTGGGTTCTGCGGACCCAGCAGGAGGACTACAAGGCAGCCGGGCCGCCACGCACCGGATCCCGTGTTTCTGCTGCAAAGTTTCCCTGGAGCCGCTCCCGGACGCCTGAGCGCCTCAGCGGGGAGCTCGGAGGTCCCAGGTTCTCTCGGACCCCCACCCAGGGCAGCGCGGGAGGCAGCGCGGGAGGCACGCGCTCCTCTCCTGGGGCTGGACCGCCGCTCTCTGGAGCGCCGCGCGTGCAGCCGGTGCCCTCCTCCGCTTCGTCTGCTCGCGCTCCTGCCGGACGTCTCTTCAGGGCGCGACCCTCTCAGCCTGGGACCTGTCAGCCCGAGTCCCGGCGGACCAACACCCCATACTAGCGACTCCTCGGTCAGTCCCGGTCCTCTCTGAGACCGAGCCTTCGTGCCGGGTCTCCTCAGCCCCCGCCAGCCTTCAGCCCCGACCCTCTCAGGAGCAGGACCCGTCAGTGCGCCCCCTCCCTCCATGTCCCCTGACCCCGCGGCCGCGCGGCACCCGAACTCTGACCTGCGGCGGTGGCGGCGTGGCGCCCCGCTCTGGTGTCCCGGAGGCTGACCGAGCGCCCCGGGCGGCGGCGGCTCCGCACGGGCTCTGGCTCCCGCTCCCAGTGCCGTCGGCCCCGCCTGCCAGAGGCCAAGCGTGGCGGGTGGCGGGAGGCCGGTGTGGGGGCGCGGGGCAGCGGACGCACGGGCGGGAAGGGAGCTGCCGCGGCGCCCGCGCGGGGCGCACAGTAGGGCCCTTCGCTGCCGGGGCTGTCTTTTCTGAGCGCCTACTCTGTGCCCGGCCCCGTTTTTTCCTCACAGCCACCACTGGGAGGCGGCCCGGAATGGTGCGAAGCTCAGAAAGATGCCCCGGGTCACGTCAGGGTAGAGCCCGCGTGCGGTGTGGCGTTCCGGAGCCCGCCCGCCCTCTCAGACCAGGGTGTTTCTCCCTTCTCACAGAAGTCTGCGAGATTGCCCGTTCCGCCCGCCCCATTCTTTTCAGTGACATTCTTTTCCAGAAGATACTAAAGAAGACTTAGAATCACCTGTTTTTTTTTATCTGATATCCCAGGGGTGCGCATACTTTCAGCGACTTTCCCCCCCACCATTATGCATTTATAATTCACACCGCTAATCCCTAGTCACTTTACAATGACACAGTTTTAGTTTTAATCATTGAAAGCATTTCTAAAACTCATTAACAGAATTTCTTTAATTCTTTAACAGTGTTTCTTACACTGAGGGACCAGGACACATGGAGTGGGGGTGAGACGTGGGGGTGGAAATCTCAAGTTTTCAAGTTTGAGAAACCGCTCTGAGGCATGCTGCCTCATAAATGTACAGAGTAGATTGCGGGCCGCTTCTTCTGCCATTCCCTCCATCAGGACCCGTCCAAAGAGGTTAACAGACTCCCGATCAGAAAGCCCCTGGTCTTCAGCTCTTAAGGCCTTTCATTGCCGCCTTCTAATCTTATTTACTGAACATCCTGTTGTAGGCCTGGCCCTCCTTGGGGAGGCAAAGATGAGTCCCTGATTTCAAGGAGCGTATCAATTACTTGCCCATGACACCCTTCATTCCTTTAACATCTTAATTTGTTGGGGATGCCTAGTTCTCTTACTTCTAGTGCAGAAGGTCCTCAGTTGTAGGTTGAAGTAAAGTTTTGTAAGGATCAATATCACTTAAGAGAAGGTTCAAAGCTTAAATCAATAAATTCATGTCTTTCCAATTGTCGCCTAAAATAAGAGGTTAAGAGCCACAACTCTACAGGGACTTCAGAGATCGTTTTATGAACCATGGAAAAGCCCTGCTTCTTTGCCTGCCATTTAGATAGGTTGACATTGTTTAACATACGGCACTCAGGCATAAGATGTGTTGCATGTGTCCTACTTCTTGATTATTCCAGAGTTCTAATCTGCTTTGTTTTTAAGAACAACTTTATTGAGATATAATTTACAAAATCTAAAATTTAAATATTATACATGCACAATTCAAAGATTTTTAGTTTATTGGCAGAATTGTGCCAGCAGAATCATCATCTAATTTTAGAAAATTTTCATCAGCCCAAAAGAAACCTTCTACCCATTAGCAGTCACTCCTCCTAACGCTAGGCAACTGCTAATCTATTTCTGTCTCTATAAGATTTGCCTATTTTGGACATTTAATATAAATGGAATCACACACAGTCTTTTGTGACTGGTTCCTTTCACTTAGGATAATATTTTTGAGGCTCACTCATGCTGTAGGATGTATCAGTATTTCATTTAGTTTTGTGATCAAGTAATATTCCATTGTATGATATATTGGATTTTGTTTATTCATCACTTGAATATTTGGGGGTTATTTCCATTTTCTGACTCTTAAGAATAATGTTGCTATAAACATCCATGTACAAAGTTTTGTGTGGACATATTTTGCATTTCTCTTAGGTATATACTTTAGAACAGAATTTCTGCATCACATGACAATTCTATGTTTAATTCTTATGTTTAATTTTTAAAGAACTGCCAGCTCATTTTCCAAAACAACTGCACTATTTTTACATTCCCATCAGCCATTTATGAAGGTTCCAATTTTTCCACATCCCTGTTGTCTGTCTTTTTTATTTTAGCTAACCTAGTGGGTGTGAAGTAGTATCTCCTTGTGGTTTTGATTTGCATTTTCCTAATGACTAGTTATACAAGCATCATTTCATGTGCTTATTGGCCATTTGTGTATCCTCCCCATGGAGTCATTTGAAGCTAAATAGTTTTGAAATTTTGGTGAAATCCAATTTATTTTTTTAAGATGTTATTTATTTATTTCTAGATAGGAGAAGGAAGGGAGAAACAGAGGGAAAGAAACATCAATGTGTGCTTGCCTCTCTTGCGCCCCCTACTGGAGACCTGGCCTGCAACCCAGGCATGTGCCCCAGACTGGGAATTGAACAGGCAAGCCTTTGATTTGCAGGCCAGCATTTAATCCATTGAGCCACACCAGACAGAGCTATTTTTTCTTTTGACATTGTATCAATACCTAATCCAAAGCAATGAAAATTTAAATTTTCTTCTAAGACTTTTATAAGTTTAGCTCTTACGTTTAGGTTTGTGATCCATTTTGAGTGAAATTCCTTTATTGTGTGAGGTAGGGCCTATCTGCTTTCACCAGGTAGGCTCTAATTCAGCAACATTGATGAAAAAGAATCCACTGCAGTGAATTCACAACTGGTGCAACATTTTAGAGTTGATTTGAATACTTTCTAAATTCCCTTCTAGATACAAAAATCTTGTAATTTTTAAAAAGTGATCTATAGTTAATGAAGCCTATAAATGTAAGAATTTAAGCAACATAAATAAAAACAGTATAAATCTGTATTTTAAACTTCTGGTCTTGATTCATTGGTAACTTATTAAAATCAATTTAGTGGGTCAAAACTAGTATGTTTTTATGTCAAATAAAACAGAACAGAACAGAAACTATCAGAAAGCATCTCTCAAATTAAATTAAGTTTTGCCTCATAACTTTTGTTTTATTCATGTGTGTGCATTTGCGTTTACCAAGAGTTGGTATAAAATGTGTTTCTCACTGTGGGACACATTCTAAAAAGTTGCAAAAACACTATGTAAACTACAGTTGCAGAGTTCTTTCATTCCATAAACATTTATTAAGTGCTTATTTTATGCCAGGCCCTCTGCTAAGTTTTGGGTTTAAAATGATAAACAGCACATGGTCTCCAACTTGTACAGTGCGCATTGCGCATATGCATTTGGATCCATATGTAGTTTCTGGAGACAAAAGATTGTGCCTGGGTTCATTTTCCACAACCAGAAGGACTCCTTCCAAATATTGATATTTGGTCTTGTGGCACTTATTTTTTTGCAATTAATATTCAATTGTTAATCTCATTTGAGATTTGCCAACGTATTTGCTTTTCTTCCAACTAGGGGAACTTTGTTCCCAGGTTCATAATTGCATACTGTGTTTATTATATTGGGTAAGAAGTATAGGACTAGTAGTGGGAGTTGGTCATAACTAAATTGATCCCCATTTTACTCCAACTATACTTATACTATCCCTACATCTGGTATTTTTAAATTCTGGTATATTGCTTTTTAAGGGAAAAATTTTAAATCATAACAAAAATTTTATTTTCCAAGGATTCAACCAGTGTTGGCATTAATAAGGATATGTAACCATTTTGAAGATGAGTTTAGAAAATGAATGTGCTGTGTTTCTAGTCATCCAATCAAGTCACTTATTTGCAGCAGCTGTGTACAATCATGGCTCTGGCATTTGCTCCTCCTCTTTATCTGAGATAGCATTTATTAGTCTATAGATATCATAAATTCTCAGGGGGTTTATAAGATCTTAATTTAAAACTTTAAAAAGTGTAACCAGTTCAACATGTTGGACAGGTTAAACACGCATTGTGTTCCCACACATGATTTTTAAATCTACCTATGAAATTTTACCTGCAACTTTAAATATTATTAAGGTCCTTTTCTCTCCTCTTCTCCCTGTCCTGTCCCCCCTTATCTTACAGCTCACCAAATGATTTGCCTATTTGTTATAAAGTCTTTAGCACCAAAGCCAAGCTTGTAACTCATTTCTTCTGGCTTCAAATAGCTTGATCTTTTCACTCTACCTCTCTGCTTAACTCAGCATTCTATATCTGTTTTGAGTGGTTGCCTACAAATAAAAGGGTTTTTTTCTGGGACATTTTAATAAAAGTTAATACTTTTATATACAAATCATTATATTATAATAATACAGTTATATATTGATTCAAAACAAAAAAATCATGGGAATATACCCAAATTAGTATTTCATTTTCTATTAATATGTCAACTTGAGCTTTCTTTTAGATAACTTGGAAAACTTGAGACATAATTTTAATACCATTTCTTCAATAATACACTTTTGTTTAATATTGAATGAAATAACTCTCTATTTTTGAAAATATTTTATCTTTTATAATTTGTGAACACCATAATGATATTTAATTGTAAGAAATTTCATTTGGTAGTTTCAGTAGTTTTGAGTTAGACTATTCAAGTTTTAAGATTTTAATGGTTTGAAAACATCTTTTAAAGGTTCAAAAATACTTCTGACTTTCAGGGAATAAAAAAGAGGACACTTTGTCTTGCTTCATCAATATTTCTCTACTTTTTCCCCCTAAAAATTGACGAATTTTGTATGTCAGACCTCTAAGTAACAAGAGGTAGGAAGTAGAGAAAGCAGATGGTGGGAAGACAAGCACTCCTGGTCACCTTGGGGTAGTTTGCAGAACAGGAAAGCTGTCCTACTTTCTATTTGTCTTTTCCTTTCAAGAGTTTTGTTTTAATTAAGTGCTGGTAGAATGGAAAGAGTCCTGACCTTTATCTCTGCTCATTGTGACCTTGAGCAGGAAACTCACTCTCTCTGAGGCTTAGTTTCCTCATCTACAAAATGAAAATATAATATATCTTCATAATCTTATTGATGAGATAACATGGGGAAATGCCAAGTCTTAGTAGGAACCCAGTAAATGTTGTTTATTAAATGGGTAAAAGCATTGAGAATATTTTTTTCTGATAGTCAATCACTAATATAGTAAAGCCCAGTTTGGCTAAGTGAAGAGGTTTTTTTTTTTGTCGTTGTTTTTGTTGTTGTTGTTGTTTTAAAGATTTTATTTATTTATTTTTAGAGAGGGAAGGGAGAGGGGGGAGAGAGAGAGAGAGAGAGAGAGAGAGAGAGAGAAACATCAATGTGCGGTTGCTGGGGGTTATGGCCTGCAACCCAGGCATGTACCCTGGCTGGGAATCGAACCTGCAACACTTTGGTTCACAGTCCGAG